CTTTTTCCTTCTGGACAAAAAAAGACTATACAGGCAGGAGGTCAACTTGTAAAAAAAAAGGGGGACCCATATTTTACTATTGAAGGATGCGTGTTTCTTTTAAATTTCTTTTACCATACTAAATAATTGTATAAAATATTATAAATCACGATAATTAATTACTTAAATATTTAAAAGATATAAAAATATATAAAAGATCTGATTGACTCTTCAAATTTTACCGGTGACGCATAAATTCGGACAAATGAAATAATATATATTATTTGAAAATTTCTTAGAAAGTACTATAAATTACAGTAATTAACAGCTAGAAATATTTCAAAGACAAAAAAAATTGATTGAATCTCAAAAAAAAAAATTAGTACTACACGTGTTCCTTTTTCCTTCTTGCCAAAAAAAAACTTCATTATAATTTTTTTTCGTAATAACAAAATTTTTTATTAAATGTCACTTGCATTTTGCAGTGAACAACAAATAATGCAAAAAAGAGGGGAAAATTGTTGAAAAAAATATAAAAAGGGTTTAATTGTCCTTTCAATGCTTTTTTTACTGTTGACCCCCTGAATTTTTACATCTGACGCGCCTAATTTGAGTGTATTTCACGCATTTTGCCAGGTAGGATCCGAGTGTTTTTTTGTTTAAGTTTTGGATAGTTAAAGTGCCTATTTGTGCACTTACAAAGTTAAAGGTCAAAGTTAAAATTTGAAGCCAAGTTTAGGGGTCAATATATGTATTATGCCTTTTAATTATGTGATAGTTAATTTTTCACATAGTCTTATTTTATATTCTATCCCACATAAAATAATATGTTATTCAAATCTTTTGCTGCCAATGGCATATATTTATCTATACTTTGTTCTCATTGGTCGGTTACTCGTTGAGACTGACATGTCATGTCTACTTCTTATGACCATATCTTATCAATCTCTTGGATATTTTTTTTTACTCGGTATTCGGTATATGTTTTGAAATCTTAATTAATTTGAATAGACATATTAAGGAATATTGCAGTTTCTATTAGGATTTTATTTTATTTTTTGAGACTCGAATTCAAGATTTCTCATTAAAAATGAAGGAATTAATCTTATCTATACCATCATAACTATTGATAGTTTACTTGGATGATAGACAGAGTCACTATTTTAATTTTATGAATTTTAAGTTTAAGAATAACAATTTTGATTACTAATAACAACCTTATATATATAAATACACAATTTAAACAAAAAATACTAAATTCGGCAAAATATGTATCTGAATTTCTACCTTCCTTCTAACTTGGATATTTCACTTTCTAATGTTATGAAGTCGTTCATCCACAAATAATAATCAAAATATTTTAAGAAACATCCGACATGTTGATTTTGTTATTTCTATCTTACCTTAAAATAAATAATTTGAAATTTTAAAAAAACTAATTCGAAAAGTATTTCAAATGAAATAATGACTTTCACTCGCAAAACTTCATTTGTCTTTAGTAAAATTCATGTCCTAAAACTATTTTTTTTTATAATTTTTTCAACTACAACAAAAAAATTATCCAAATAAATAAAAATATTGCTATTGACTTTGATCCATTATAAATTTCTCACTCAATATTAGTCGGTGTGTTTTGTCAATGTTTGTTGTACTTTCCCATGACTTATTCTCTTTTTTTGTTGTATACTGTCAAAGGTCAACTAGGATCTCCATGCCCAATAATATCGTTTTGACTATTTTTTATTAATAAAATAAAAAATTATTATAAAGAATATACTATATAACATTGTATTTATGTATATATAAAGTTATATATATTTCAGAGTCTATTATGTTAATTTAGAGCTTACATTATTTAAGATTATGTATTCATTAAATTTTTTTTATTCGAAGTGCAACGTCCACTTTAAGCCTTGACTGATTCGGATTGGCAGCGGAAAGTTCCATTTATGGTTAAAGCTTCCTCATTATTAAAGACGATTTTATTTTCAAAACCTTTCATTACGATTATGATGATATCGACTGTTTATTATTTTATTCTTTTGATTGTAAGATTTAATTATATTTATGTATTTTTGCCGCTATTTCAGTAGTTTGAAAAGATAATTTTTCAATTCACATTGCTTTAATTAATACAATTAGTAGTAAACTTTCATAAAGTCGGTGTTAGTGAAAGCCAGAGATTTTTAAATCTATAAAACAAAATATAGCTTTATGTATAAGCTAAGATTTTAAAACTGTTATTTATTTTTATACTATATAGTTTTATAGTGGTCAATAGTTTAATCCTAACCAAGTTGCCATTTTTAATATATAGTCACAACATAAACGAGTTTTAATTATTATTTGTAAAATTCAAGTATAAAGATATATATATATATATATATATATTGAAAAGAGAAGAAGAAAGGAGATAGTTGCCACTAAAAGTATGTTTTAGTGGCAAAATTAGTTGCCGATTAACCTATAATAGTTGCCACTAAAAGTATGTTTTAGTGGCAAGATTAATCGCCGCTAATACCTATAATAGTTGCCATTAAGGCTGGGCACCGGACCGGAACGAACCGGTACCGGACCGGAACAGGACGGTTTGACCGGGTTGTTGACCGGTACCGGGATGAATCGGACCGGAACTACCGGGATGGAGGATCAGTTCCGTCCCGTCCCACTATATACCGGGATAGAACCGGGACGGACCGGAACAGAACGGGATGAGATAAACGGGACGGCACAAATAGCTAAGTTTGTAAGTTAAGTTTAATAAAGTTTTTTTTTTAGTTTTTGAGCTTATGTAGTTATGTTATAAGTTTTAAAGATTTGAATCTTTTGAAGTTTATAAGTTATTAAGTTATACTTGTAACTTGTAAGTTAAATAACTTAAGTTTGTAATATTAAAAAAATTAAATAAACAAAAAGAAATGCTAATAAAAGTAAATAATGACAAAAATATTATTTTTTATTTTAATTAAAAATAATTTATCGGGACCGGACCGGTACCGGACCGGGATGAACCGGTACCGGTATACCGGTACCAAATCATGGTACCGTTCCGTTCCGTGTACCGGTTCAATGTATCCCATCCCGTCCCGAATACTACCGGACCGGAACGAACCGGAATGGTACCGGTACAACCCGTTCCGGTGCCCAGCCTTAGTTGCCATTAAAAGTATGTTTTAGTGGCAAAATTAGTCGCCGCTAATACACTCAATAGTCGCCACTAAAAATATGTTTTAGTGGCAAAATTAATCGCCGCTAATACTCATAATAGTCGCCACTAAAAGTTCGTTTTAATTTCA